AAATCGATATTTTTCAGGAATTGAAGCAAAAATTGACTAAAATTGTCCAAAAAACGAACGTGGATCATCATCAAAATATCCACCATTTTCTCCGTCATCCGGGCTGCTGTAACCGGTCGAGAGCATTTGGCCCAGGAGCTCCCCAGATCAAGCTGAAAAAAAGTCATGCCGGATCCCATAATCGGGCACTAGCGGTGAGAATCGAGGCGGCACACTGGATCAACGAGGGAGGGAACAGGGTAAGAAAAATATATCTTTTTATCTGATTTTAGTTTTAGAAAATGCCGTTTTGTATGGGTGACAGCTGGCAAAACGATGCAGACCGGGCTGAAGGCGTGTGTCAAATGCGCTGGCCAAAAGGCGATTATGGAAATGGTGGAAAAAGGTTCGCTCCCCCGCAGGAGGATTGACTCGATCGACGCTGGATGGAGTATTAAGGATTTGGTCGATCCAGGCAAGGCCATTGGGCTTTTTCAAGTGATAAAGCGTCAAGAGGATGAAAGGTTGAAAAAATTTGGAGTCCAGCTTCTCACCAAATTTTGTTTGTTTACTACCTCCCCTCCAAGGGGACTATGAATCTTATCGTCTTTTCATCGCATTCCTTTCCATTTCCCACATTCTTGAACAGAAATCTTCGGGTATTAAAGTTAGATTTTCAGGCTGAATGGAGGTTTTCAATCCGGGAATGAGCCCGAAACGATGATCTCCATCCGTCATGGCCCCTCCAAATAATGCCGAAGCCATCGAATAATTCTCCGTCGTCATCCCATATCAACGCGACTCCATAACTAAAGGGCATGGCGGCTAGGCAATTGACGGCAGGTATGCTGAATATCATTTCGACCATTACCCATGCTCCAGAAAAATCAGGGAGAAGCTGAATGCCTATGCAAGGACAAAGAGGCCAAAGCAAGGTCAAGGCCCCGGCCTCCAAGGCAGCTGCAAGACCTGCGCCAAAAGAAAAGAAAGGTGGGTGCTAAAAGTGCATTCATTTTATCTCAGATTTTAGGAAAATCAGAGGGAAGAGTGTGGCCAAGAATGCGAAGTCGAAACAAGCACCGCCGAGGGCAAGTGCGAGCAAAGAGAAGCGCGGAAAGAGTGCAGGTGAAAAACATTTTAGATTTTAAAATTCTGGGTTTCTAGATAAGAAGGCTTCAACTCCGACTAAGGAGAAGGAGGTGAAGAAGGACGGCAAGAAAGACGCAGGCAAGAAGGCACCAGCCACCGCTCGGCCGAAGGCCACATTCCAGCCAACAACTTTTGAGAAAGTGCAAGAAAAGTCGTTTGACAATACGCAGGGATTGGTATGATTGTTTGGCACCCTCCATATATACTCGAATTTTTAGAACATTGACATGGAGGGAGATGTTGCGTCGTTGTGCCAGCCAGCTCTCACAGGACGAATCTGAAAGACGGGTCGAAGGAATAGCCGAGGCGGCCGCTAAAGCCGCCGATGCTCTCGGTTAAGTAATTCGCGGAATCACCGGCTGGCCGGTGACTCCTTTCCGGAAAATGCGTGAAGAAGAACGGAAAGGGTGGCGAGGAGGTCGTCTTCACTTCGACGCGAAACAACGCTCTTACGTGCCAGAAGGATTCGACCCGTTCGACCCGCGTTTCAACAAGGACTCTGTGCTGGGGGTTGGCGTTCTCTGTTATGCAGCTGAAAATCCCTCAGGTGGACAAGGAGAAGATCATATGGAAGGATTGGACACGTAAGTCGGGTTGACCTTTACTCAACTCTTGGTCGAAACAGTAGCGGCATTCAAGATGCGATGCTCGGATAACTCGTGGCTTCCGCATGGATCCGGTGTATGGCTGTGTGGAGCCGGAAGAATGACGGCGAACGTCGTTGTCACGCTCGCAAAAGCGGTTGCCTGTTTTGCAGAAGATCAAGGTGCTTTTACGTTTCACGATCTTATAAGATTTGGCGAGTTTGAGGGCCGATTTGAGGGCGTTTTAGGTGGAATCGATCGGCGTGAATGATGGAGACAGCCGCGATGCGCGCGAGATACTTCGGGTCGTTGAACCGTCCGCGTTGCAATACACACATATTGAGGTACACTTTCACCGGGGGCAATAAATAGTGGCATTTTAGCTAAATACTTTTTACTATTCGTAATCGTAATTGTAAAAAATCGGTTTTCGACAAAAAATTGCCGATTTTATCCAAAATTCGGCTTTTAAAAAGCTTTTGGGAAGTTTTTCGAGCTGATACACAAGGTGTCCCAAAACCCTTCTCTTCATATTCGGGTCGTTTACTGGTCGATCTGGGCCAAATTTTAGCTAGTGATGAAGAACCATACAAAACCATGCAGCCGAATCTTTCTAAGCCAAAATATTGTAACTTTAAGAGTAAGATAAAAACAAAGAAGCTATATCAAAACTAAGGTTTATTTTGCCGATTTCACCAGGATTTTGACGGATTTCTCCTCGAAATG